CTGGCTTGAACCTACCTGGGAAATCCAGGTAGTTGCGCAACACCAATTGGTTGAGTGAGGCCAAGCCCTGCCTGCCTTTTCCCAACTGAATCTGAGGCAGGACCTGAGGCGGACACGGGGCGTGGATTGAACACGGGCCGCAAGCAATTGGACACGGGTAACCACCCCAGGCCCTGCGTGTGATTCGCTTGGTCAGGATCTCAGCCATTTGGGGCCTACTGAAACCTTATAGGCAGGGGCCCGCGCAGCCAGGCGACATGCAGCAGGCAGGCCAGTTTGATTTACCCCAGGCCCTGCGTGTGATTCCCTGGGTCAGGGTCTCAGCCATTTGGGGCCTACCGGAAGCTTCTGGGAAGGGGCCCAGCACAGCCAGGCAGCACACAACAGACGGACCAGTTTGATAAAAGAAAGTGTATGCCTCATGCGACATTCGGGCACTTGCCACTCGTTGCGCAAGCGCGGCTGCGCTACCGCCAGGCAAACACCAACGCGCTCACGGGCGAGCAAGGCACACACAGGCAGCCATAGCCGATCCATAGCTGAGCCATAGCTGAGCGGGCTGAGCAAGGCACGCTCAGGGTTAGGGTTCTGATCTCAAATTCAAAACAGTAACACAGGGCAAGAACCTGAGTTGGAGATTTGGGGCACGGTCTGGGCCTAGCCATGTACTACATATTGTCTCAGGGTTAACGAAACGAACAAATTTAAATCGGAGACCAAGATCAACGGGGAGGAAGTACAAAAACGCTAAGTGATATTTTGGGTTGGCTCTTCGCGGTGGAGTTGTGGGTTCAAGAGTACAAAATGAAGGAAGGGCGAAACAAACAACGAGGGGATCGAGAGGAGGAGGGGGAAAGAGAAAGAGGGTGGAGGTGGAGAAGAGGAGTGAGGGGGTGAAGAAAAAGGGGGAGCAGTTGAAGAAGGCGCATGAGGTGGAAAATAATACGGAGGAGGTGAAAAAGAAGCTTGATGAGGTCTATAAGGAGGAGGAGGTGAAGAAAAAGGGTGAGGAGGTGAAGAATAAGGGGGAGGAGTTGAAGAAGGTTAGTGAGGTGAAGAAGAATGGGGAGGAGGTGGAGAAGAAAGGGGACGAGGTGGAGAAGATAGGGAGGGAAACTTTTGATGTTCAACCCCCCGAGGACATGGAAATTGTTGCGCTGAAAAATCTGGAGGATAGTCAAAAAATAGTGTTGGATGAAATCAGAGCAGAGGTTGCGACTATTGGGACGCACATGGGATTTCTTTTCTGTCCCAAACAGTGTCAATGCCTACCGTGCGGCGTGGGACAAAACGTTTGGTCTGATGTGTCAATATGTATCGTTTGGGTTTGGGTCAAGGTCTGACGAGTATGCAAGTTGATGTTATTTTGTTGCGGACTACATTTTTCTTCATATTCTGCACTTCTATTTTAATTTAGTAAATTTATAATAATCTAAGTCGGACCATTGCCCAGCTCGTGCGTATGGACAGAGATGGGGGGTCGCCGGGCAAAACCTGACGGGTCAAAAAAAAGGCAAGGCATAGACTGCACTTGGCGTAAGCAGTCAGAATCCGGCCTTGAGAAAGGATTGTGGCTTGTGACAGTGATCGAGGGGTATAACCTGGGACTGTGACAGGGGCCTATGACACAGGGATAGGACTTGGGATTGTGAATCACGAATGACGGGGGGAACTCCGTAGTCGGACTTGCACTTCAAACTAGGACTAGGGTGTGGGATTTGTGTTGTGGCTTATCTTAAGAGTGTTACAATTTCTCATCGCTGACGACTTCGCTGCTTTAGCCGTTTTGGCCTCTTAACAACTTGTCCTCCTCTTTCAAATGGAAACATTAAAGGAGACCTTATATCCCTCACATTCCTTTGTTTCACATCAGAAAGTATGATATTGAACATGTTTATTTGTTTGGTATGATCAACTCCTTATATTCCTTTGTTTGTGTGTATGTGGGTATGTCTGCAGCTCTGTTTCTTGCCCACCGATTTTGTGATGCAAGTCACACTCATCGTCTAGTCTGCAGAACAACGAAGGTACACGCAAATGTTTTGAAGTCTTTAAGTCGTTTTTTTAACACAAACTCAAAGCTGCAATTATTTCCATGTTCGGGCATGTCTTCAAAATACCAATTTTGATGAATTACTTCAGTACACCTTTCTGCTTTTTTCTTTCAATTGTACTTCAGTTTATTTCTAAATTGGGGTTTAATATTATTTTACGAATTTGTACATCTTTGTACAAGAATTAAGGAATTTCCTAGGTTGGTCCCCACGCTACCCGGTTGGGGGAAGATCGCCCAGGTACCCTCCCAGGCGGCCCGGGCAGGGCAGCGTCCCGGCCAGCCCCAACGCATAATATTTTAAAAAATAGAAAATACAAAACTAAATAAAAAAATATGGAATAAAAATATGTTACATAAAATTGCAGTACAAGCAACTTTTGGCTGAGGGCCCCCTCGAAATTCGTTATTAATTTGAAGATAAAAATAAATCAGAAGAAATGAGGTAAGATTTACGGTCATTAACCCTTTTAAACCCTTCTTGTCACTGTTTAGAGTAACTTTATACCCCCCGAACACTGCTAGGTGACCCACCACCGAAATGGAAGGTAAGGTCGGATTCTGACTGCTCAGGTCAAACGCAGTCCCGGCATGCGTAGCCGAGTGATGGCTCAAAATAGAAAATTTTTACAATTCCAGATACTGAGTTTCTTAAAGCACCAGTACTTCAGGGGCATTTTTGTACGAGGCCAGAAGTGACTCACCAGCGCAAAAAATACGACCATTGTGGTCGGGTACTCGCGAAGCTCAAAAGCTGCAAAGCGCATACGACATCTACTCCCGCCAGATGTATAGGCCAAGTACTGGTGGTTTAATGATCTTCTATTTTTTACTGTGCATTATATTCTTTCTCCTTCTTGTGTCTGTTTTTTTGTTCCTAAAAAAAACAAAAAACAGAATACATTGTTGTTTCAGCTCCTTCATCGTTGTGTATGTTCCTCTAGGGGCTTTTACTAGCCCTTGATTGAAAACGTGAAGGGGTAGGGGAGATATTATAGAGAGCGGGATGGGGCATGATAGGGGGGGAGGGGGGTTGAGGGGTTTTAATGACCATTGATCGAAAAAAAATGAATTAAAGAAAAAATTAGGAAAAAGAACTTAGAACACTAGTGGTTTTTTTTTGTAGTCATCGTGCGTGTGAGAGACGAAGTTTTCCAATACAGGGGGGGCAGTTCATTACGGTGATGCAAGAAGAGGAGGTGGATAATAAGGATAGTGTCAAAGTTGGAGGTGCAAGGGATAGGAATGCATAACTGCAATCTGTAGTGTCACGCAACCGACGTGCTCTAAAGCAAGGGGCACATTGGATTGATTTTTGTTTAGTCTTTTGTTTGTTTTGTGTTAAATACGAGTGCGACATGATTACTTTGCAGTGATGGAAGGGGAAAGTTGCAACATACATGACGGTTAATCTCCGAATGCAGAAGGCGGACATTTGCAACACGGTACGAGGAAAGTTGTTGTAGAATTTCTTGACACATCGGGAGAAGCGGATCACAACAAAAAATAGACTAGTTATGAAAGTGGGACGATGGATGTTTCTAATAGGCGAGTGTTGATGAAGGGAGTGCAAAAAGGTGAGAAGGGTGAACGAGCCGTAGTGACCAAAGGACAACGAGAAGTGGGAAGTACAAAGGGGAAAGGCATGAGAGTCCGCACACATCGGAAGGTTGGCAAGGAGGGAAGAAGATTACAAAACTTTATGACGGTCAGATGCGGTTCGTCGAAGGACGATTGCGTGAGACCCTAATGGCGGCGTGGAGATTTGCAGACCATCGAGCAGATGAAGAGAAAAGGAAGAGAAGACGGACTCCAAAGACAGGAGCGTCATTAAGTATGCAAAAAAGAGTGAAGGAGGAATTGATGAAGGAAAGAGGTATGAGAGGGATCGAGAAGGACTACAAGGAGGATGAAGAGGAGGAGGTAGAGAGGAAGGAGCAAGAAAGGAGGCACGAAGAACGCCAAGGGAAGCAGGAGAAAGAGTCTGCGGAGCAATATGAGGAGGAGGGGAAGGAAGAAGAGTATGAGGACAAGGAGGGAGATGCATCATCACGGAGGCATGAGGAACCCCAAGGGAAGCAGGAGAAAGGGTCTGCGAAGCAATCCGAGGAGGAGGAGGTGGGGG